GAATTGAATGCTTGCATCTTTTAGGTGGGAACATCACCGTTGACGCATACAGCTACTGTTTATGTTGCTACTGACCCGCAGAACTGCAGCCTTCTATGGGTGATGTTTTCCTGCTACACGGCATATTGACAGCAGGTCTAAGATTAACGAACTTGGCTTCGTAGTTCTGTCTCACCCACTATGTTATCCTCTTTCGCTTGCTCAATTCCTGAAGAACAAGAGCGCAAGCACATCAAAATGAGCCTTCAGTTATCCTTAACGTAGAAGAATGCAGATTTTTAACAAAACGGTATCCATATACTAGACAATCGATGGAGGACATTTGCTGGTTAATAAGTAATTGTGTAACTCCGAGTATATGCATTAGTACTGGAAATTACTTATTACTCAATCTAATAATTACTTGAGCAATGCTAATTTCAAAATGTTTGTCCAATTACTGTGAAAATTTCAGGCAGTTTCCAACTTTATGGACAAAGAAATTCAATTTCTCAGTGTGTTCGGAATCCTCGACATGAATCGTACTTTGATCAAAGATTGTCATGTGAATAAGTACAATTTCAATCTGATTCCGCAGGTCTCAAACTGAGAGGAATCAGCTGCTTCATAGCTATATCAGCGTGAGATATGCTCCAAGATATGGATGAAGCCTACTTTGCCGATAGATGTTTTGTGGATTATTGATTTACGCTCAAGACAGAATAGCCTAGCCGCCCTTGTGATCTTCGCTAGACCTTTACTTAAATGTTCTCTGGATGAATACTGCTATAAATCTGTTCATAGGATCCATGCAACATTATGCATAAATTTAGTGTTCGGTAACAGTTGAGCTTCATTGGGATGCGCTGTGCATTTGTAAACTATCAAAAATATCAGGACATGGGTGCAAGTGTAATCCACTTTTGGTGAAGCGCAAGAAAAGCCGATTTTACTTGAACGGGAGGGTAGAATGTGGAGCCTCTAGCCACAGCAGCAAATGTATCAATCAAATAAATCCTCTACCATAGACCCAACACTGCCTGTATTGCACCGTTGATCATCGAATCGTTTGAGCGAGCGCCATGAAAGACACAACTCGCAATAAATTTGGGATAACCTGTTCAGACGAATAACGGAAGTGATAGTTCAGGCTTGGGCGAAAGCGGCAAAGAAAACGCGAAAATCGGCGTACTCGGATATGTACAAGGCTTTGAAAAAGTACTGAACTTAGGGGTTCACGCGGATGTGACCGCAAAAGTTGCAAGAATGGAATATTTGAACGAGCTGCCCAGTAGCCATTCTGTGGATCTGGCTACAGTAATGTGCTTGCGTGCAATGTGTGCTTCCCGGTGCAAGCTACCTCTACAGCCTCTACAACTCCATGAGTACTCGTCCGATATTGGGTGTGTGCGCCGGCGAAGCCCATTTGAGGTCTACATATACCTAGCCCTAACTAGCCGTTTTCAACCCGTCAGCGTCCCTTGTTCTATACTGGGGTCGTCATAGGCTCATCCCAGGGTGAAATTTTAACACCAAATTTCTTAGTGAACTGTGACTTTAAAGTCCCCTTCGTACCAGCCGCGTGCCAGTGTTGTATAGCAGGTCCTCCTCTCTCCCGGAAACAAAATTATTCCACCCATCCCCTTCAGAGCTTTCGTGAAGATGTCCGACGATTGCGTTGGTCGCTGTTCTCGTGTTTGTTAGATGTCCCGAGGGATCGAGTTCAGTATACAGAACGACTTGACGTGGGTCCCAGACGGTATCAGACCCGACTGAAAGGGAAATGGCTACATGTGGATAGGCCACAGCTTCATAGTCATTGCACAGGAAAG